TGGATTTGAACTGTGGACGAGGATGATTGAGCAGCTGACCATCAGCTCCTGCATTTTCAGTCCAGGGGTGTCTGTCGGTGTGCGTCATTGTCCCTGAGACCCTTAACCTGTGATGATATGAAAGGTCACAGGTGAGGTCCTTGGGAACAAAGGTGCATGCAGTTGCCTCTGGAGACCACGACATTTCCTGTCATTAGACTGAGAGAAACATTCTTACATTGCCAGACAACACGTCATGAGATTATCACAAATATCAGAAATGTGTAATAGATGTGTAATAGATCAGAGTAAATCTGCTGAGCAGTCATAGAACTAGACGTTTTGAATGCATGAAGTCATCCGAAGAGAATTCCCCAAACTTTCCAGACATCAGGAAAAGCCAAGAAGGGACACCGTGGTTTGCTGGAGGGGGCAGTACCTTTTGGCCGACTTTGTGAGATGAACAGTTACACGGTTCAATAAGAAGGCAGCCAAGGGTCATGACCCCGATATATGATTCACATGGGATTTTTGAAATCTGTTCACAGACACTGAAAATAACAACACTGAAGACCTGTAGTCAAAAGAAGGAAACGCTTTGATGGTTAATTTTATGAAAAGACAAAAAATTTCCTAGGCTGACAGTGACATATACAGAAAGCATGTTTGGTGTACCAAAACAGTCCAAAACCTAATTATGTTTAGTTTACTGTCAGAAAAATGTTTGAATAATAACCTAAGCAATTAATCAATTGTCCAAATAGTTGATTCATTTTATAAATTTTCCATAATTTCCATGGATGAATGATCTGCACCTTGCTCTGGATTTTCCTTTTTGTGATGACAATAAAATTCAAGAAATTGTGAAAACTTGTATTGTTTTTGTTAAATACCATGTAAATCCAACAAAAACTGAAAAAACTTTTTTTTTTTTAAAAATGTAATCAGCTCTTTTCTTTTGTGGCACACAAACAGTGTAGGCAACGTTTTTGCTCACCCAGTCAGGAATTGAATGTGCGATAAATGTTTCAGATTAGTGCAGTGAAGATCAACATGTGATATTAGGCTCCAACAGAGAGCACAAATCAAGCTTCTTCACTGCCACATTTTTCTGACCACTTAACAAACCGCCACAGCTGCAGTTTTCAGGTGAATAAATGAAAGTGACGTGGTCTTTTTTCAGACTCTCGCCCTGACACTCAGCCAGGGTGGCTCAGTGTTCCCTGGCTCTCAGCCCTCCATGTGTTTGTGCATCCCAGGACAGTTGACATTGATTGTGCAGGAGACAGACTGAGCCACATTAGTACCCAGCTCGGGCCTGCCGCTGAAAAACACATTAACTGGCTGCATTGGGAGCCCTGTCTGGTAACCATGGCAAAGCACACAGGGAGGGAGGAGGGAGGGAGGAGGAGGAGGGTTGAGACGGGGCAGCGGGTTCAGCACACAGTCTCTCAGGGGTTGTCTTTCTCAAGCACTCCTTTCCTTTCCTCCGGCCACGTCTGTCATTTTCTTTCAGCCTCTCTCTCCCTCTTTTGAACTGACAGCTTCTCTCTCGCTCTCTCTGTCTCTCTGTCTCTCTGTCTCTCTGTCTTTGGTGTCCTCACACACATATAAACACAATTTGCATATTTCTTTCTCTTTTCTTGCATTCCTCTCATTGATGCTGACCTCATCACTCTGCCCTTACCTCATACTCCACCCCCTTATCCAACTACCCTGTGCAACATAATCTGCCTCTCTCTAATTTGCCTCTTTTTTCTGGCCTTTTCCCCCCATGCCTTTTGTTCCATTGTCAATATGGTTCCCCTCTGTGGAGAGGTACAGGAGAGACAAGACGGAGCTAGAACAACGTGAAAATATGGAATAAGTTGATAGTGACAAACCATCTGAAGAAGGACAGAGGAGCTGAATGTGTACATTGCGCATAGTGTTAAATTCTTTTTACATTTGTTTTCTCATACTTCATTATATGCATACAGTATTTTATGCTCATAATGTATATTGCAGGCCTGTTACAGTTTTCTAAGGTTACTAAACTATTCTATGCATCTGCTGATGTACTTCAGCTGCTGTTATACTTCAGGTTCCCCGTGTGGGATCAATAAAATGTTATCTTATAAATCAGTCACACCCTCTTTAAATAAGAATTAGACTGGTCTTTTGTCGGCAGATCTTTTAATGGAAATTTCCACCTCCGAGCTGCACTCAGGCTGACCAACTTAAAATATTTAGTTATGTGCTTTTTCTCTGTAATTGTGTTCAAGCACAATTTTAGGTACTTGTACTTTTGAGTCTTTATATGAGGGAAGACTTTAAAAGTGAAAATATATATTAACTTAATTAACTACTTACGTATGATCAGCTATGCAAATTTTTCTGAACCGCTGCTAATGTGGCCTCTAGTTACAGGATAATGGTAAATGACAATACAGTAGCTCAGTATTGTCTGTTACACAGTAAAATATAAAGTTTGTAAAAAAAATAAAAATAAATTATTATTAGCCACCATAAGCTACTGGTCATTCCAGACCGAATAAGGCTGGTAAAACCCTGAGTGTATTGAATTCACCATTCAACTTTTCATTTGAGGAAGAATGTGTTATTTCTTCTTGTAAAAGTGACATTGCCTCACTTCAAACCAAATATATTAAAGCAGTTAAGCCGGCCACAACTAGCCCATCGTTTTCTTCCCCTTCTCTTACAGTCATGCAAATGAAATCCCTCTTTAAACTGAAATATAGGCCCACAGATCTGATGTTTTTGGATATTGTCATGCACATACACATGCTGAGATGAGACAACAGAAATACCAATGCAGTAGTGAAAAAGTGGAGCAACCAACTTCCTATGCTATTCTTCAAATAAAGTCTGCCAAATCTGCTAGATTCCCTTCCTAGAATACAACTAAAATGTATGTATTCTTCCATCAATAAGAACTCATCAGAAATGACGTACATTTTACTGAAAGGCATAGCCCGTAAATCATTGACTTTGTCTTAGGTTTGACTTATTTTACACTACAAGCAAATCATTTTCTCTTCAGGATAACAATTAAACCAATTTTATGAAACCATGTTTGTAATTTGGGTTTATACCAAACATTAACATACCATCTTTTCTTAGACCATTATTATTATTATTGTTACAATTCTAGTTTTTAGAATTAGAGGAATTTTATTATGAGATTATGTAAACATGTTTCTGTCAGTAGAATTTTAGAATTTATATTGTTTATCATGCTGCTACAGAGTTGCATCAGTCGTGTTACTTTCCTCCATCACAGTAAATGTTCCACATTTCATCAGATTCATCTATAGGGGGCACTGCTGAGTTACAGTCCCGCAGTCACAGTGCTTGGTTGAGGTGGCAATGCATAAACTAAAGTAAAACAATGTACGTAATTCAAATTGAATAACAAAAAATCAATACATACTATTTCACCTAACTATCCACTTTGTGATAGCATTTACTCCACTACTGTATATTTCAGAGTCAAATAAATATTTTATATAGTTGCTAGTTTGCTTCTAAAAAAGTATGTCTGAAGAGTTTAAACAAGTCAGCATTATGCGCAGTTGCTGTCTAGAGGTCTAGAGGTTGCTTAAATACTTACATTCATGACTGTATGTCCATGCTCAGTTTTAATAGATTCAAAATATGATGTTAGCATTTACCAAAAGAAATCAAAGAGGAACACACAATACTACCTTATATTCTGGGTAAGCTGTAACAATAGTTTTGACAAAATATAACATAGATTGTATCAGATGTTGATGAAGTAGACATACCAACCAAACTAAGCCCTACATAGTGCAACAGTAGCTGAGACACAGCTGACTAGTCTCATAGTGTGAGGTCAGTGTGACATCTCAAAATATTTTCATCGAACAAAGGTTGAAGAAATTTGATTTTTCTCTCTGCAAAATCAGGAATGTGGTTGTAAAATTGTTAACTTTGCTCATGCCCTTTTCCTTTATGTTGTGTGAGCATGAGACCAAATTAAGCAATGTTGCATGATCAGAATCATTGATCAGCTTGCCTGTATTATACACCTCAGTTTAATTATAGTCACATCTTTACCACTAATATGTCTGTTCTTTTTTTTAAGGGTGTTATCTTCTTATAACCTACTACAGCACATGATGTAAACTTGCAGATATCATTTGTATCAAGCTGGGAGTGATGCTTTTAATTCTCGTGGTTGTACGGTATTATGTTGGTGTTGTGTCTTTTCAGAGGAGATAAGATATAAGATAAGATAGACTGTAGGAGCCAAAATGTGCATTTTGCCAGCGTTGTTTATTTGTTTTGGTTGCACACATTAATTTGATTATCACTTCCGGCAGTGGACACAGGGGTGTGGTTTCACTTTATTTACCTGTTCATTAGTGTGGCGGGATTCAGACAAGGAGGGTGAGTGAGACTCCGATATTTTATGTTGACCGTTATGTTTTGATTTAAGTTCTCTAAAACCACAACTGCTGATCAGTACCTGATGTTTCTAAAAAACAGTGTCAAACTCTTATGGACTAAGCAATGGATTTGTGCAAATGCGTCACAGGTAAGAGACCACTCAACTCTCCGACGGCTTTCTTTAATGAACTAAATAGCCGCTACACAAACTTTACTGAGTGTCAGCAGCAGAAATACAATACACAGACAGATGCAGTCAAATGTCCAGTATACTACATATATTATGAGCACATACTTAAAATTAAGAATGAAAAAACAAATACTTAATACAAATACTTACACATGACGACATAAATTGTAAGTATAAAGTGTATTGAAGTAAAACACTCACAATATGAAGATACTTTGTGGTCTGTGTAGTGTCAGAGATAGCAGTGTGAAAGTGGAGGCAATTAAGTTACATTGCAAATGTGGATATAAATCATGGTATAAATCTAGATCCCACATATGGGCAGTGTATGTGGGGGGTCACAGTACCAGCCTGGGAGGGGAACTCAGACTCTCCGCTGCTGTTTCCTCCGGAGCCTCCTGAACGTCACGGACGGCCGGAAGCGGTCGCAAATTTAAACCGCCACCACGCAACAATAAAAGCGTACTTTACTTTACGGGCTGTGTGATGAACCAGTATTTGATGAAAAATTAAACTAAAATCGTGCCGAGGATTTCTTTAAGGTGAGATATGCACTCTGTTGATTACTCCATTGTATCTGCTTTGCAATGCTTGCTACTTTCTCCATCGCCGTCGATTTTGAAGCTGACTATTACCTGGAAAACAATCTGGTCCAGAGTCATCGCGATTGTTTAAGGCCCTAAATCTGATCAAATTTACGGTCCTTCAGTTGCAGCTGATAATGCATGTGGTCTGTATGATTTTTTAAAATTAAAATGCATTTGTTTCAATATGTAAATATGTAGTCCAAGAACAAAAAAATATTAGTATTTGCATGCAGCGACGTTAACTGTCCACATGTTGTTGCTAGCCTCCTGAGCACTTCTCCGTCGGTGCAGCTTCCCGCCGTTGAAAGATTGCACTCCAGACAATAGACGTGGCCGTGCAAAACCCATCCTTTTAATAATAATAACAATATGCAAATTTGATCAATTATTTTCCAAATAATATTTAAAAATATGCTATGTGTGTATACTGTCTTACTCTGCTGACTAGATTATTTGTGTAGATTGTATTTGCTCGCTGTGATTTTCATTAGGATAGAAAATAATATTTATTTACTTTCCAGAAATGTGGTTTTCATTAATAACAGTTTTTCTGAAAATGGAAAACATTCTCTGGCTGGTATGAGTGCATCACTAAAGCATTTGACAGTCTTACTTGGATATAGAAAATGTTCTGACTCATAAAGTTTAAAAAAGCTCATAGTAATTGATTTTTATGTAAATAATGAGTGTATAGATACAAGTGAGTAGGCTTATGAGTGCTCCCGAATATGTAACTAATGTTAACAAGTCTATTTTTGCAAATGATCAATCGAAGGTAAATTTTAAAATGTGTACTTCAACATATTACATATTATTTCACCATATTAAGATAGGTACATGGGTTTAGATTATCAATATGGCCTATGTAACCCTTTAATCAGGTATCACTTTTTTATAGGGATCAGCCAATATGTTTTTTTTCAGGCAGTTATCGGTAATCAAGGAGACCAATAACCAATATTTGGAACCGATATGCCAACACAAAACTACTGTATATATTATGTTGTCCACCCTATTCATATAATGGAAAGTAAGCTAAATAACAAAAACACTTCTGTATAATGTAATAAAGCTACACACACTACATCCTCCATAATGATAATAAGGTTGAATCGACAACTGTCTGAAACAATTTTATTACAAACTGAACATTATAACCTTCATGAAGAAAGATATACTGCCAGACTGTTGTATTAGACTACATCAGTTTTAGCTAGATGTTCCTAAAAAACTGACAACTTAGTGTATATTAGTAATTAAGGCCCAACACCTATTGTTTCTGTAGAGATTATTATTTTTCTGATGGAATATTTGATTTGAGGGCCTTGACATTCTCAAAAACTCATGAAAATTGGCACACACCTCCAGACTGTTACAAAATGCAAAGTTCAATAGTGATTGGGATAGGGCGTGTCCAGCAGGCTCCATAGTGCCCCCGAACGTAGGGCCATGTCAACATCGAGGTCCTCGGATGTTCATGAAATTCGATGGGATGATCCTACATATAGTAAAGGATTTCCTGCCGCACGTTTGACCTAGATGTATGAAACTTGGTAGGCATGTCTACCTTGTTGAGATCTACAAAAAAGCCTCTTGACCCATAAGCTAAATTCAACTGAAAGTCTGCCATTTTGAATTTAGTGTGCACTTTTGGTTTAATTTGAACTCCTCCTGGAGTTTTAATCAGATCAGCTCCACATTTTGTGCATACCATCTTAAGACCTTTGTGATCTTAAATTGCAAAATTGCGGGCGCATGGCAAATTTCGTGGCTTCGCCATGACAGAGGAATGTCATGTTTCACAGTAGCCCCTGCAGTAGGATTCACCTAGATGGATGAAAATTGGTAGGCATGTGTATTCTATTTCACAGTTGTTGAACGCCGCGTTGTTGAACGGACAGGAAGTCATTGTAACTCCTATATATTTTGGCCAATGTTCTCCAATCTTGGTCAGAAAATGCATCACAACCTTTGTATGATTCAGTGTGAAAATTATGAGTAGTTGTGAGTGCCGGCGTGGGGAGTTGTGATGCTTCGCCAATAAACGGGAAGTTATTAGAACTATAGTACACCTTGCCCAATCTGCCCCGAACTTCACAAATTTGATGACTGTTCCACACTGAAGACATCTGCATGGAAATATAAAGTTATACACATAGTGCCAACTACTGGATACAGGAAATAATCCTGGAGAGACAATCATTTGATGTACATGAGATTTCCATGCACTTGATGGACAGCAAGATAATGCATGTTTGGTGCATCTTTCATGCAACACATCTTCTCCTCCGCCATACGGTCCATGTGGGAAATCTTGCTTGTGAGTGCGGTGTCGCGTGTTCGTGATGATGCAGGGCGGCAGTGACCGGCCTCCTGCCAGCGCCCCCGCTGTCCACAAGAATGCAAGGACCTGCTCAACGCTGCTTGCAGCTTTAATTATTAGTTGTATGGACAGGCTGCAAAGTGCCTGACTGGAATTAATTGGTTGATTTTGGTGCTGTCCTCACCTGAGAACTGATTCATGTGGCAGCCTAAAGATGTTCTTTAATAGTTCTATCATATTATTATTATTATTATTATTATTATTATTATTACCAATTTTTTTCCCTTCCCCCTTTTAAAATGTAACATGTTTACTCAGAGTACTTTTTAACTGACTTACTTTGTACTTTAATCTGAGAACATTTTTATTTCTAGTGTAGTAAAAGTGTCTTTTCAGTAACAGTAGTTAGTTGCCATTCACGTGCTGACGTGCCGCAGTCAGTGTAGTGTCTCATCTCCAGTTGCAGGAGTTTCTTATACTAGTAGTGTTTATTGCTACTCTATTTTATCACAGGTAATTCTTCCTTTTCTCTAATCACAGTGTCTAACTACCTCCTGTACATTTTAACTGTAGGTCTGCTCCAGCACTCACAGCTCTGTGTTCCTTTTAGCGACTTTCACTAATTCAGCAATTGTTCACATGCTATTCAGATCAGCTAGTTACTTTAGCTTAGCAGTAAGCGCTAGTGTCTCTTTCTCTCTGTCTCTCTCTCTCTCTCTCTCTCTCTCTCACTCTCTCACTCTCTCTCTCTCTCTCTTTCTTTCCCTTTCCCTGTGTGTCTTGGATCCACAGATGAACTTGTTCATCAGAGTGTGGTGTTGTTGTAACTTCAGTGTAGAGGACTGTGATGTTTATTGCAAGTTCAGCGATGTTTGCTGTCTTGCCTTCGACACACAGTTCCACTTGTGAACCGGAGCAGCTCTGGTCTGTGTCCGCCTGTGTACACAACAGCCTTCAGTGTGATAGGCTATTACCCATGATGTCTAACCAATCAGATGGTGCAGTGGGCGGGATATTTCTTCAGACCATAGAATGCTGACTAGAGACCAGAGACAGGCGGCTGCATCAGAGCCATTTTTAAATTAATACAAATGATTGGTTTTTGGTTAAAGAAAATAACAATACAGATAATTGGAAAATGCAGAATTTTACCACCGATAATCGGTCAGTCGATCCCTGCTTTTTTATTTCAACCTTATTTCCAATATAGTAGAAATTAAACATGAAATTATTTATTGTTATATTAAGAAAATGTGCTTGTTTTTGCAAGACTATATATGTTCCCATTTATCACTTTATTATGATTTTACTTTCTCGTTAAAATAACATCTATTTTATATCTATCTAAAATTTTTAATATTTCAGGAGTTTTTGGTTTTAAGGTGATGTCATCAAATTTCTTGTCAGAACAACTGTCCAAAACCCCCAAAATATTGAATTTAATATTATGTGAAGCAAATAAAAGCAGCTAATTCAAACATTTCAGAACCCCCAAAACATCAACTGTTTTGCATTTTTTCTTGAAAAATGACTAATGATTAATCAATTTATCAAACTAGTTGTTGATAAGTTTGGTTCAAATCAACTTAATTGTTGTAGCTGTAGTTAAACAAGAAACAGTTTTCATTGTTTGATTGCATTTATGATTGTTCTGTTCATATTTTGGGATTCATGTGAAAAAAACAAACAGAATTGTGTAAAAATCAAAGTCCTGTTTGATCACATTTACACTAATGTAATCGATATTAAATACTTGAATGTACACTTATTATTAAGTAAATACTAATTGTGGTTTTCAATGTCCAATTTACAGGTCCAAACCTAACAGTCCAAGCAGAAGGCAGAGGTACGGAAGAAGAAATAAGGATGGCTGAGACAGAACAAGGAGATGGTGTGAGCAATGAGGGGGAGTCTAGTGTAGATATGTCCAGCAACAGTCCAATTAAAAGAGGAAGGGGGCGACCACAAGGTTCAAAAAAGCTGAAGGTTTGCGTAACAGACGTTAACTTAATGGAGCTGGTTTCAGGCATTTCCAATGGTGGGTCCACACAGCCCCAGAGAGGAAGAGGGCGTCCAAAACACACAGTGCAGGACGGGTCAGGAGATGTCCATTCTGATAATTCTGTGCAAACTCATAGGGGTAAAGGGAGGCCAAAAGGGTCTAAGAAAGAGGCCAGTAATGAAGGCAATCCTGTGACAGACATTTCTCCTAAAAAAAGAGGCAGGCCAAAAAAGTCTGTCAGTACCCCAGAGAAGGTTGCTGCTGAAGATTTGCCAAACGGTGGCTCTAATACTCCTAAAATGGGAAGGGGTCGTCCAAAAGGATCCACAAAGCGCAAATCAGAAAGTTTATCAAGTGGTGAAGAAGATGAGGGTAGGTCTGTAAAACCCAGTAGAAGAGGTCGACCAAAGGGCTCTCTTAATAAGAAACCCAGACTGGAGGAAGAGGTGAGCAGTGAGGGGGAAGCAGAAACTGATGGAAGCCCGCCAAAAAGGGAGAGCGGTTGGCTCAGAAAGGTGGAGGCAAATACCAGTGAGACGTTGACACAAGATACATCAAATGGCATCTCAAACATGCCTCGGAGAGGGAGGGGAAGGCCAAGAAAAAGTTTTGAACAGAAGAAAAAAAAACAAAAACTGCTCACAGATGGCTCCCAGCATGGTAAGAGGGGAAGAGGTCGGCCCAAAGGTTCTTTAAACAAGATGCGCCCTGCATTTAAGTTGGTACAGTACGGCACAGCAAGCCGGCCTCGGAGAGTACATGTCTCACCCCCAAAAGAGAAGCCTGCTCGACCAAAACAGCCAGCCAAAAGGGGAAGGCCAAGGAAGTATCCTCTGCCAGCACCTGAGGATCGGAAAAAGAAGCCGAAAGTATGGAAGCCGCTTGGACGGCCAAGGAAATACCCACGTGTTGATCCCCCAGAGGGAGCTCCACCAGCCCCTCACAGAAGGCCTGGTCGGCCTCGCAAGTCTGATTCTAAGAGAGGCGCACACTTACGCAAGAATTGGCCTACCACTCCATCCTCACCTCGCAACCCCAATGATGGACCCCCAAGAAAAAGAGGCCGCCCCCCAAGTGCTGCAGAAAGTGGAGATGTCACACCACGGAAAAGAGGCCGCCCTAAAGGTTCTGTCAACAAAAATAAAGCCAGTAGTGAAACACAGCTCGACAGCGCAATCCCAAACCATTCAAAAGTAAAGAGTGAGTCATCTGTGGTTGAGGTGGAATTTGAAGGAGAGCCAGCAGAAGAGGAGGTGGAGCATGATGCGCAGACGATACCCACCGCCGATGATACTAAAGAAACGTTGATTGAACAGGATGCAAGCTTGGGAGTTGGTAACCAGGCTTGATAAACGATCCCGGTGTGACCAAAAAAGTTGCTGTAGTAGTTGCTGTTGAAAACATAGAATACAATCTTTGTCAATGAAAACACACGTTTTTAACATTTTGTCAGTTGAGTAGGCTAGATATTCAGCAGCTCCTCGGTTTTTCTAACTAACTTGTTCATCTTGTTTTATTGTGCTTGATTATTTTTAAAAGAAAACTATTTCTGTCATTTGAGTAAGCAGTACTACTAATAACCTTTTACTTGAACTGGCATGTAGAGTTTATTATTATAGACTGATTGTTCCAGTTTTCATTGAGCTTTCAGATCTAGTGTTTGTCACTTTAAATGTGCAAGTAAAACAGTTGTTGGGGAATGACTTGTAGGAGAAGAAGTCCAAACAACTGTTGGAGAGAGGAGAAAAAAGAAGAAAAGGAAAAAAAAACACTAACAGTGAAAACATAGAGAGCCGAAGTCCTGGCATCAGATCTGTGCTATAACTTCCTTTCCACTAGCTTCTGTAACTGTCTATTTAGCTTCATCTGTCTTTCTAGAAAAATTAAATCTTTTCCTTGGGTTTACTTTCCATATTCTAAGATAAACTGGCATATCAGTATAGAGCGATATGTGATATTTGCCAACTGATGTCCAAACACCTCCTTTTTTTTAAATGTATGTCCCCTTGATTTTAAAATATTTTTACAGTTTTATAGGAACAGAGAGGAGAGGAATATTGACATATAGATCCTAAAAACTATATTTATTATCGCTAACCTGTATTTGGCATGTCACAAGAGATAAATTAAAAAATTCACTGACAGGATTAGAACTTGGAGGAAGTTTTTTATTTTTTTTATTTCACCGTTTCATTAAAGGGGCTATAATGAATATTTTTTATAATAATAGCGTGTGAAATGACAATGTGAAAGCAGTTACTTAACCATGCTTAACCCACAGAGAATTATCACCTGGATCTGCAGCTCCCTTTGGCTTTAAAAGAGCTTTATAGTGAGTTTCAGCTCATGTTCTAGTCCAGTTCTGTCCAGTCCTTAAATTTCCTCACCGTCTACGCTCTCATAGAGTTTTCAGTTGTTTTTAGCAAAAAAGCCACAGCACACAGCCTGCTCTGCACCAAACAGCAAAAAGACACAGTCAGTGACTAGCTGCTGAACATAATGCAGCATTTAGCAGCTAAAGAGCAAGATATTTCCCTCAGGAGTTGGTAGAGACCAAAAACAGAGCAAAAAGTGAATATGGGACTTGCATTCACCTGGTGGTCATAAACATTACTCCAAATGAATGATAATGTTAATCTGTAGCTGCTGGACAAGTAAATACTTCACCAATATCAACTTAAAAGGTGATTATATTTCAATGATGTGCTCTCAAATTGTTTCCGCTGCGCCAAAGTGGCCAAAACAAGTTGAAGCAGGTTTAGGCCATGATGCACTATGGCTTATTGGAACTTGTTAAGGGCAGCTTAAATCAGAAAAACTGACACCAGCGATATTAGAACCATGCAGATACAAAAGTCCAAAAAAAGACCACTTTCCCATTCACCAGGAAAGTACTGTTGATAAGACTGGAATTTTAGTTATTTATGTCATTCAAATTATTGTGAAGCATTACTTCGGCTCTCTATTGAGTATCTGTGGGGAGAGTTTTGGGGTTTTGCAAAATATGTCTAAATGATGTCATTATTTTTCTCAATGCCATTTCAGAGTTTATCATATCGCCATATTTGTTTTTGCCTTAATTGTCAAAGCTATGAATGTACCATCAGTCTCAATTAATTTAGATCAATGAGTTGTACCGCATAGATCGTTTCATGCATTACTGGATTTGACGAAAAGCTCTGTATCAAACGCCTTCCCGTCGCTCATAGTCGCCTTGAAGATTTCCTCCTCCACTTGTAGCATCTACTCTTTTTTTGTTTCAGCTGCTGTTGAGTTGCAGTCATTATTTCAGCCTTTATGCTGTTTACGTGCAGCTGTGAAATCTTTTCTGTTTTTTAATAATTTGGGACTGTCATGAAATTAAATTCAAGTGATTGGATTGATTTCACAAACATTAATTTACCTGTTTTTGAGCATTTGTGTAAAAACTTGTGTGACATGACTTGTACATCACATCATTACTGATATTAACATCTTAACGGTTGGGTCAAACAATTGACGTTTCTAAATGCCAAACTGCTTCTGTGTGTGTCCAGTTATCATATGTAAAACAATGTGAGATGAGGATGGAAATAGAGGCTTAAGGTTTTGAAAAATCACATTGAAATTTGAAATGGCTTTGTGAAGTCAAATCATTTTAAGTGGACATATTTGGATTTTGTGTGTTTTAACAAGAAGCTAATAATTTATGGCGAGTATGGTCTTGAAATAAAATGTTGATCTTGCCGTTTTATTTTTCACATGGTAGTGTGATGTTCGGATCAGATGTGACTGAATTCCTTCAATTCCTGTTTATTTTTATTCTACCCTACTATTTAACTTAATCCAGGCAACTCCAACAGCAGTAATTAGCTGTTTATTATAGTGTTTGTGTGTAGCTGCTCCAGCCCTACCATTCCTTTTTGATGACGTCATTGATGCACTATGCACCTCAGTCAAGCTGAATCAAAGGTTGTATGTGTTTTGACAAATGAATCACTACTAACTGTATAACCAGTACTATTCAGGTTCTGAAATAAAATAAAAAAACAGTAGTGCTCTCTGTAAAATAGCTTTCAGGGAGTGTTAGTATTGTTTATTAAACATTTAAAACAAAGGAGAATTGCATTTTGATTAGTTAGTATTAAAAATGATGTTAGTGCAGTTTTTTATTGTATATCTCTATAGAACTTCACTGTGTAGTCTGTAAGTACTGCACAGAAATTTTACTCAGACAATGCATTCTCAACTGCGCAGGGAATAACTTACTGTCATGGTATGTAAATTCCTGTTAGTTAATCAAACAGACCAAGATAAAGGTCCACACATGGAAAAATGAAATGTCTGCTCGTGATGGCATGAGTGTAGTTTTTACATGTAAGTTGTTTAGACTCTGACATTAGGATAAAGAGTGAATTATTAAATTGAGAACATTAATTACCAGTTTGACAGCACAAATAATAACTCCAGAAGATAGATTACTAATTTGAGAGCACAAATGACAAATTTTAGAAAACAAATGATTAAATGGAAAGCATTAATTACAAATTTGATAGCATGTATTAGTAAGTTGAGAGCACAAATTATTAAATGGAAAGCACAAACTAATTATTTGAGGGCCGTTTATTTCATCTAGTCAAATTTCAAATTCAAGAGCACAGATTCTTAAATAGATAGCATGAATTATGAAACGGACAGCACAAATGATTGATTCAAACACAAATTAAACTGAGAGCACATAATACTAATTTGAGCATGGATTCTTATGTAGAGACCATGAATTACTAATTTGATAGCAGGGATCATTAAATCGAAAGCACAAATTATTTAATGGAAAGCACAAAATACTAATTTGAGACCACAGATTCTTATCTAGAGAACAGAAATTAGTCATTTGAGAGAACAAATCATGAAATGGAGACCCTGAAATAGCTGACTAATATGATAGCCTGTTTTATTAAATAGGAAAGCACAAATTACAAATTCAAGAGCACAGATTTTAAAAGAGGTCATGAATTATTGGAAGCACAAATTATTAGTTCAAGCACGAATTATTAAATTGAGAGCATGAATTACTAATTTGAGCACCGATTATTAAATAGAAACCAAAAATTACCAGTTGGAGAGCACAAATTCTGATAAATTATTAAATAGGCTAGAGAGCATGGATTACTAAATCAAGACCACAAATTATTAATTTGAACACAATTTTTTGAATCTATAGAATGAATTACCAATTTGAGAGCACAAAGTTAATTTAAAAAAAAAAAAAAAAACTTCCTGGTGCTTCTTCGGTCTTGAAAAGAGAGACGAGATGTCGGGATCGTTGGGATTAAGGAACTACAAGAGGGAGTGACGTCAGATTCAAACAAAAGGTGGTCTTTGAGGGTGACGTTTTTGGTATGTGGAAATAGAAGCAGAGTGATGCCTCTTCACTGTTTTCACATCTCTTGTTTAAGAGTGGATTGCGCACCTGGTCACACCAGCCAGGTAACTTCTGACTTCACCAGTAAGGAGCAGGTGAACCAGTGAGCTTGCTTCTTAAAAGGAAAAGTTACGGATTGTTTCTGCGATGTGACCGAATTAAAAACAGGTACGTCAACCGTCAAACGCTCAATATTTTGTTTCTGTTAAAATATGACAAGACTTGGACGTAAATAGACTACAGAGTCGCTAAACAAGTTTTAGCTCCACCCGGAAACTACTTTCCTCACTGCTTTGCACCACCAGGCCTAATTAGCTACAAGATTTGAAAAAGCTGTGTTAGCCCTTCTCTCGTCACAGTAATCTTTGGGCCACATGGTAAACAAAAGCCTTAAAAGCGAAAACAGTGAAGTGTGGCAACAACTCAGTCTGTAAGAAGCTGAAAGTGTTTTCTTAGCAGCAGCTCTCACTGAAGATGTTCACTGTTTGTAATGCACAGTGTGGCAATAATTTGGGATTTAAACAGAGAAGCAAGAAAATGAAAGTTATATAAAGCAGACACTGAGAAGGAAATGCGTTATATTTCTTGCAGGTATTTTAAGTTGGTTGCAATCCTGTTGGGACAAATCTCCCCTGTAACTAGACTCTGCAACTGGACTGAAACGAGAATCAAACTGTGGTTAAATATGTCTTTTTTGGGGGGATTAGGCCTACAGCTATATATATATATATTTAGATTTCAGTCATTGGAAAAGAAGAATCTTTGTCATTACATAAATACACCTTCATCGTACAGTCTCAACAACTTAATTATAATGAACCTAATTTTTAAAGATATTTTAGCGGCTGTAGTAGTTTTTCTGTAGCTGACAAGAGAAAAGGAATGCGGACATGTTTGTACAGCTTGTTATTGACTTTACAGCTGAAATGTATCAGTGTTTTCTGTTAATAATTGGCCAGTTAGAATAATCTTACAGGTATCTCAAAGTTTGGGTGAGGTGGGTTTGCCACACTTCTCAAATTAGATTTTTATGTGATGGTAAATTGAATCTCTTTGGGTTTTGAACTTGAAGAAAGGAATTTAAAGATGTCGCAATGCACTCTGGGAACCTGTGATGGGCATTTTTCACGGTTTTATGACATTGTATAGATCAGACAATTAATCAATCACTGGATTTGCTTCTTTTTTTTTTTTTGGTACTTATTTTGATGTTTGGGAGTCCTATCTTCACCATTTAATACTTAATTATGGTCACACGTATAATATATTTACAGCAACCTTTTAAGTGGAATCTGATTTTCTGACACACTCAAACACAACTGGGCTGCTGCACAAAGCTGAACTTGCTTCATACACTCTGCTGGTCTGTGTGAGGGCAGGACAGGCCATAAAATACAACACACCCATGATAAACAGTGAACTTTGATTCATTTTTTTATGACGCCTAGGGGCAGAATACTGTATTTAACATTGTAACGTTTTTTTTTTCTCACAGGGAAAACAACGAGCATGACTTTTAGAAGCTGGAAGAAGCTTTGTTAACAGGGGGACTCTTCACATCGCCACAGCTATTGACTGAAAAGAGAGACAACTGGATTTAAAAATGTCTGGCCCCGGTGGTTTAGTGTCAGAATTAATTGAAGATGTGGCACTTTCACCTGATGGACCAACTGCAGAGCCAGAAATAGCTGGAAGTAAAAAGCCACAAGAGAGTAACAGTGTTGAGGAAAGAAACAAGATTACAGATGATGAAGATGAAGATGAAGAAAAGGTGTTGAAAGAGAAGGAAAATCAAGAAGAGAACGAGGAAATGACCAGCTCTGCTCTACTGGAGCCAAGCACGTTACCATGGCCTGGAGACAAAGAGAAGAGGCCTCAGACGGACGACGATGACGTCTGTTCAGAGTCTGAAGAGAGGGACACAGGGATCAGCGGAGGAAGCCAAGACCTGTCCGAGAGTCAGACAGAGAGCGACAGAAAGAGCAAAGACAGGTGGAGGGAGAGCATGCCCGAGGGAGAGAGGTGGAGGGATGATGAGATCGAGGTGCAGCGAGACCATAAAGGGGACAGCTCACTGGCAGATGACGAAGAGGAAGAGGAGGATGTTGAAGATGGAGAGTCGAATTGGATCTCGGAGAAAACTGCTCTGGGTTTCACTCCACAAGTCACGATCGTGCGTCCGTCCAGCAAAGAGCTTCCTGAGGAGAGCCGGCTCTTCATAGAGAAGGACACTGAGAAGGAGCCGCAGGTGGAGTCCGACTCAGCATTGCAGTTCTACCCAGAGTGGACGGAGCAGGACGACAAGTTCTGTGAGTATATGACGCAAACCGGGCCCATGTTTATTCTCAGGGAGTCTAAGTTAAATTTAAGACTTTTCAATGCTTAAATGATAACACATAGAACAAAGAATGATGGAAAACCACAAGGGACAATAAGGTGTACAATTTCTTATTAAATACTTGAATCTGATGACATTTATATTGCATTTTTGTCATCTAGCTGTCCTAACTGTATATAACAATAACTCATAGGAATATAATTACTCAACTAAAGCGACCTGGACCTCCATAATCAGCATAAAATGGATAGATGGCTTAACCAATGAAAAATGATTTGTTCTTTGAGGTTTTTGCTAGAACTTGAACTTGCTAGGTTAAAACTGAGTTCAGTCATCAGCAGATTCCCAGACCTAAGTGTCATCTGAAAGAACTGACCAAATTCATGTTTTCAAATTCACTACATCCTTGTTTGTTTGTTTTTTTGTTTGTTTGTTTGTTTGTTTTTTTGTTGTTTGTCATCGAGGTTTGATTTCTGTCGATGTGGCTCATGATTTCAGTGCTGTTGGGCAGATGAATCTTAAATCTCAGCTGTCGGAGCTTCTTAGAATAAAGAGAAGAACGTCCTCGTCCAGCAGCCGCACAGTAAAAGACATTTTGACATGTTGATGGCTGAGTTCCATTTAGCTGCTTCAGTTTCAGGGTCCTGGTGTTGTTCATGTGGCCTCGCTGTCACATCGTCGTGACTTCCTGACACACTTGAATAGAATAGAGTCATTGTTAATTTTGTTAGTGACACTTGTGCTTTCCCTACTATGACAAGTCATATGTGTGCTGTGAAGAAGGTCAAGTATTTTAAAGGTATTTTAAGCCTTTGTTGGTGAGACAATAGAGCAATGGCAGGAAATGAGAGGTAGCGAATGACAAATGTTTCCAGTTGAGTCAGACCGGGGATGTTACGGTTCAGGATCAGCGCCTTAGATCCCTGGGCTACCAGGACCCGAACCCCAACGCTAACATCGGACTTCTTAATCCCCTAATCCTTCCTGACTAACTATTTAGTGATTGCCTTCCCAAATATCTTTCAGCAGCTTCAACAACAGCTATTGAATAAAATTAAGGCGAGATTAATTAAGATTATCATTAAGAAAGATTCTCACAAAGTACTTTGTCATTGTGATCCTAAATTAGCCTGAATCCATTGTTTTTCTTTCTGAGAAGAATAGAGAATACATAATTGATTTGATTTAGAAGCTGAGGGAAAACCAGAGCTCGCTGTGCTGTGGATTTTACGTCATGTAGTATATGCAGCCAGGTGCTGTTCACATTTTTTAAGTAGATTTTTAGCTGGGAGAGTTTCTGTGACACTGCTGTGTTTGTTGTAATCCAGCCAGGTTAAAGTGTTTTCTGCAGCACATTTTCACTCAGTAAGTACCTGCTCTCAGACTAATGGCACAGCGTAATGATCTCTTTTCTCCTTAATCAGATATAATTACATGTCTTGAGATGAATCGAGCAGCGAGTCTCATCCTCTCAGTCTCGCTGTCACCTTCCTGTCCCCGTGAAGACAGTTACAGATACAGATTTTCCACATTTAGTATAAAAACATAGAATAATTATTTGTGTTAAAATAATCTCTGTTCGCTCCTTCCTCAGACCTGTATGAGCATCTGTGTGGTGCAAAACTGAGGCTGGCTCTGGCGACGGCAGCTGCAGGGCTCCTCTTCCCTCTCCTGGTGTGGGGAGGTTACAGACTCCTTCCCTTTGACTCACCGCTGCTGGAGAGCGCTCCCCTCAGGGTGGTGTACACACTACGCTGCTCCTTCTTCGCCATCATCCCCATCCTGCTCGGTAAGACCTCAGTATGTCTTTGTGTTAAGTTTATCATGCACCGAGCAAAACACTATAAGCTGCAAACAAAGCCACACAGGTAACGATGACGCTCGTCTCTCTGTAGGTGTGGTGGTGCAGGGCGTGGCCCGACTGCGTTACAGTGCGCTGAAGCCGCTCTATCAGAGTCAACTGGTGCACAGAGAGGTCGCCGTGCACTGGCACTACGTGAACGAATCACTGGCCCTCTTCCTCTTCTACTTCCTGCAGCTCGCTGTCATGGCAACCTACATCAGCCAGGAGCTGGTCAAACTGGTGCCGCTGCTCACCATCATGTTTGTTTTTGGCAGGTAAGGGTTTTGTCTGTCACACGTAGTTTGATGTTCAGGGTCCAAATCAGGGATGAATGAGGAGGACGATGAGTCCAAACCTGCGATAACTGAAATATAATATACAATATGTAGCGCAGGGACGAAAGATGTTAAATGGGTATAATGTTTATCGTGTTCACGATCAAAGGTTAGCCTGTTAGCATGATGGCGTTTGGTAATTAGCACTAAACACAACATATGTCTGAGGCTGATGAAAGTGTCATCAGTTTTACAGATATTTGGTCATAAACCGAAGTTTTAAACAAATTCAAATTCAGAGGTTATGTGGCTCGACTGAGAATAATGACTGTTGGTGTTGTATTTGGCTGAGCTCTGGCCCCAAAGGTATGAATGAAATGTGTGAAGGAAATGAGCTGTGTGTCTGCGGATTGTTTAATAGCTGTCTAACTCGCAGTGAAATCATTACTGGCTCATTTAAATGAGCCCAGAACTAATAAATGTCTTTACTTACAAAAAGACAAATCACTTCCGGTGACCAACACAGTTTTGTTTTGTGCAGAGAGCTCATGATTATTCTGTCTACACACATTTCCTTTCCAAATGGTAAAGGACCGTAAAACTAAGATTTGGCTTTTTGGACACCCTGTAGCTGTTACTCAGCATGCCTGAAATGCACAAATGCTTTACAACACAAAGTGCACAGTGAAACCATGAGTGATCAGAAAAGATTTAAAAAAAAAAAAATCTCCATCAACCATATTTTAACAGCCGGATTACGTAATAAGATAAGCATTCACCTGCATTTTCACTCCCACATACTGTCTGTTGGTTGTCCATTGGATTTTGCAGAGCTACTTCCTGCTGCAACTTTGATCTGTTGTATTGATCAAAGGTGTTTTTTTGTTTTGGTTTTTTTTTAAGATGCCGCCACCTCACCCTTTTGGCCTCCACATAAAACAGGTTAAACTGGAGATTTGTTTTAAACCTGTCTGATCACTTATAGGGTTTCAAGTCCAGTGAATTTATTCACTATTGTGCAAGTCTGAAGTTCACAGACCACACTTTTTTTTGTTTGACAGTTTTGCATTAAGGCAGGAGTGTACATTAAGGAAAAACATTGAACATCACTAACAATACATTGAGCTGCAGCTACACTATAGTACCACATAATTGAAGGTGTTTTTAGTAGTCTGTTTTGGGGATCATAGGGTTTACTTGAGCTCCAAAATCATCTGATACAGATTGAAAAGCAAGAGAATGAAGAAAAGATGATAGCACTGGGATGAAGGCATCACAGTATTTGTGATTTTGTATTTAAAAATTTGTGTGTTGTCAAAAGTCAGAATGAATATCCTTTATCAGGTCTGCAGTTCTTTCCATACAGAAAATGTGATAAGGTCATGAAACCAGTGAGCTATTGAATCACAACAAAGCATCAAAGCTCTAATCTTGTTACACAAACCAGACTCTTGATGCCTTTTTACATTTCAGCATCAACTTTCAATTGGGACTACTGTGGACTCTGAAAATATTATTCTCAGACAGACTCAAATACATGATGGAAAAATTAGAGCAAGTAAAAAAAAGAAACATCTATCAGGATCATTAATCCAGCTTTGAGTCATCAAGCGCTCGATGCAAAAACTGTGGAAAGGCACAAAGGAGCTAAGCTGTCTAATGTTCCTGCTGAAAGGTGTGAGTGGGAGTGCGGGCTGATGTGGGTGCTGATCAGATCTTCAGTCATTATTTATCCAAATCAAGATTATAAATGTAAACCAAACGGGGAGAAGTCTGAGCACATCCATCTCATCTGCTTCGTATTTATGTCAATTTCTGTGCTGCAGGCTGATCTACTGGCTCTGCCTCTCTCTGGGCAGCAGCATCAGAGGCCTCGGCTTCGGCTTCTCCTTCTTCCCCATACTGGTCATGCTGGGCGCCAACTTCTACTACGTCTGCTCGTCAGTCGGACAAGGGGCGGTTTTTGAAGTGGAACCACCCACGACCGCTCCTCCTCCTCCCAGTCAGCGTTGGTGGGGTTAAAGGCCGATGTCCATAAGACGGTGAGGTGCTAAGAGACAAACAACTGCAAACACCTGAAACAACATGACTAAATAACACTCAGACAGAAAACCTGCACCAGTCTTTTTGGTGTCTTTTTTTAAAGTTGCGATCCTTAAGATTTCAGTCCTGGTTTGGTGACACCTGTGGTTACTGATGGTAACAGCAAATGCGATTTAATACTGCAGCAAACACTCCTTGAATAGGGTTGTCAGAAACACAGCAGAAGAGGAACAGGTGTATCAGTTTACAGAGCAGCGAAACAAACTCATGTTTTAACAAAGACGTCAGATAATCTAAACTGATCAGATCTAAACCGTCTGATTTAATTAAAAACTGCTGCCGACAAATAACTGCGGGAAAAATGACTGTCATCGTGTTTTGTAGTTGGATTTTTGATTAACACGTTGTTTTTGTTTCCTGCGACTTCACAATAAAAGCCACCCCGTGTTTTGCTAGTTGAATGCTTTTAATTTGAAGCAGCAGTAGGAAAGCAGCGACTTAATACTTGATCTGGAACAGTGCAAAGAGAGTGAACACTTATCAGAAAGATAAAATTATGCTGGATTATAGACATACGTTTCCTGTGACTCACTTGTGCTTATGAACTAAAAAATTGGAAATTGCTGTAAAAATCCTGACCACAAATGGGATCAAAATGGGGTTTGTTTTCATGAAAATCTTAAGGATTACAACTTCTGTGTAAGATAATATCTCTGTCCACAAAGAAATTATTGATATGAACCAGGCTGGGAGTGAATTTGAAGCTCAGATTGTAGACTCTGTATGTTTTGTTTTTTTTTTGTTTGTTTTTTTTTAAGGCGAATATATAACAATATTCACATTGTAATTACAAAGGAAGTTTACATGCAAATTCTTGAGAGAGAGAGAGATGTGGCCTGAACAGTGTGTGTTTACTTATTTTGTACCATATTTCTTCCATTACAAAACTTTAAACGGCCTCTTAACTCCCTCTTGTCTTGAGCTGATGCAATCCAGTTTCAGTTTGAGGCATCCAGTGTTTGGATGTGATGCAGGAAAATACGGACATGCAAAAATAAACATGTGAAACCTGAAAACTATCAGTTATAGGAACTCAATCTAAAGAGCTGGATATCAAAAGTAAATATTGAAGTTGTTTTATGAATTCTTTAATTTTATTTTGTTAGGACACAGGTGGTACTAATCTTTAAACTATATATTTATAACAGAAACTGTTAAATGCATCTTTGTTTTACTGATCGAAGGCTTTTCTTTGTTTGTAGCAACATAAGTTGTTGGGCTATTTTTGGATAGTCTCTTTTCAGCTTGTTGAAGGATCCTCATTATATGAATGAATGTGCATTTAAAGTAAATATGATCAATAGTTGGGATGAGTTGAATGAGTAAAATAAAGCTTCATTACAAAATATGATTCAGATCCACCTGACTGAGGGGAAGGCGTGGTACTAGTACTGAAGAAAATGGCACATGAAAAATGTCATTAATCAGGATTATAATTTCGTTATAACGTTAGCAATCATCTGATATGTTGCTGTGTAATGGACATTACTGAGTTAGTTCACTGACATTGACATTAATAATTAACAACTTGTATGTAATTGTGGCCACTGTTAAGCAAAGAGTCTCAGTTTAATCTGTACACACAGTTCAGTGGCTGATATTCTGTGAGTTATGTCTCAGTTGTTCAGTTTCCCTGCTTTGGTCCTGTGTAACTGTGGGCTTGATATCGAACTTATGACTGAGAGATCTGTTAGGACCTGCGCAGACATTCCACTGAACTTACTTCACTCAGATTAGAAAATGATATGGAGCTGATACCAAAAAAAACATTCTCCAACTGTGCCAACGACCGACAGAAGTATAATTCTGAGCACACTGTGAAATAAATGGAAATGCTTTATTTTAGTGAAGAGCTGAAGGAACATCCCAAATCTATAAAAGCAACAGAAAATTATCCTGAAAAATAACTTTTCAACACATTGGCTTTCACTCTAAATCACATCTACCTAAAATCAAAATTTGAATATTTAATTTATTAGTAATAAGCTTTAAAAATCTGTATTACGGTGGCCCAAAGGTGCAGAACACAATATAGAAAACACAATATTTCACTAAATAAAACAGAACCAAAAATGCTAAATTTTAAAAAAGGCAACTTCTCAAAACTGTGATTTGCACTCATGGCCACTGTCCTTAATACATGTATCACTTTTAAATGTTTACCAAGGCTCAAAGGTTGAATGTAACCGAGTACATTTTTAGTATTGTAGTTAAATTCGATTTAACAATAGTTTTGTTATTATCATATACATTTTTAATTAAGAATATTATTATTACTATTATTTATTTTTTAATGTTGGTGTATCAGATGTTGTTGATTCACTTGAGTTCAGTTGCTGCTTACTTCACGGGAGATCATGAGAGATCAGCTAAATTTAGCCGTTAAGTTATCGCTGAAGGTGTGAAATGAAGCTTCATCACACGTGTTTGTAACTGTGACAATGAGCCAAGGACGGAGAGAAAAACCTGAAAGAGGAAAAACACTTAAATGCACCACAGGAACGGACTAAATTACATTTTTGGATTTTCTTAAAGACTTTACCGACGTCAAATGTTCCTGATTGGAGATTTATATTCTTTATAAAATATTTTAGAGGCTCTTTTGTTCTGTTACACAGTAAACAGTCAGTGGTTCTTCTGTTTCATTTTTATGTCAGTTAAGAAAACAAACCACAAATTCAAGTTCATTTCACTCAATTTGTCTATTTAATATATAAAATACGGTAAAACATACGCAAAAAGGATAAGGTTTCAAGGGACTTGGATACTTTGGTACAACAAACACTTTTTTGTAAAAGCGGTATAGAATTTCAATAACATATCAGTGCATACTTTGTATATGAAAATATACACAAATTGTATATCATTCTCAAAAAACAACCAAAGAAATATTTTCTTTACAATAAAAACCCAAAGCAAACTAGCTCAACACAATATATTAGCTATAAATTTCATCTTTAGTATTTCATATGCTACATTATTCTGAGTTGTTTTAAAACTCATTTGTGATGCATGTCCTTTATCATTACTGTATGTAACATAACTTTTGTTGTTACCTGTATCCCATGCATTTACATTTTTCAAATTTCATGAATTACTAATTTCAGTTTAGTTGCCCGTTTTTATAAATATATTCTATATCTTAATTAAAATTGCAGCATTTAACTGGTATTTCCTTCATTGCATTTGCTAATACCACAATAACTGATCGTGCAATTTTCAGCAAGTTTTTTCAAAAAAGGAAACCAGTACTATATGTTTATGATAAGGAAGGTAAAGTAATAGAGAGAAAATAAAAACAGTTGGCTATCCTACACAAAATAGCAATAAAATAAAAGCTCCATAATAATATCATTATAATAATAGACAATGGAACTGTCACCAGCACAAATTAATCCAAAAATAGTGAGATTCTAAAAAACATTGTACACAACAAGTAACAGGGTGCAGGTTTTAATTTCTCATATAGATTGTCATGTGACTACACTGCTAGATTGGACAGAAAACCTTTTTTGTACATGAACAAACCTGCCAGAGGCAGGATGCCAAAGCCAATCGGTGTGGTGTCACATTTCAGTCAACCATCAGCGCCCACAAACGGTTTCCATGGATATTAATTTTTGTAAAAGTTGAAATGACTGCGTAGTACAAGAGGAGATCATTGGCTGTCTGAGGGCTGGTACCACTCATCAGTTAAAGGAATAGTTTGAGATTTTGAGACACATACTTATTCACTTTATTGCTGAGAGTTAGATGAGATGATTGTTACCATCCTTGTGTCTGCCCATTTGAATATGAAGCTACAGCCAGCAGGTGGTTATCTCGGTGAGAAAGTTAGTCTGGCTTTGTCCACTATTATCAAACTCTGCCTACGAGCACGTTCTAAAGCTAAAAAAAAAAAACCCCACACTGTATCGCTTGTTTGATCGGTACAAAAATTGAAATATAAAAATGACTGAATTTGTGGTATTACTACCTCTTGGCCAGCCGCTGTAACTTTGTCTTCTTTATGCTGCGTTCACACAATGTCTGCTGAATGGAAAGTTGAAGAGAGTTCATACATTACAAGATGGATAAAACCCTGCTCTTAATCTTGTTGCTGTATCATTTAAATAGCCTAAATTTATTGCCACTAGCTGTTTATTTCCACTAGCCCAACTCCTTATATTTGTACAACAGTAATGGATGGAAATACACTTTAGTTCAAATCTTAATTTGCTAAATTTTGGAAATTCACTTACAATTTGTGTTTAATTTAGATGGCTTGGCTTGGCTTCTAACTCCAACTTGATTGTTAGTAATTACCATCTTAGCGATATAACGTGAACACAGCATTAGAGGTGAGCTTCAGAGGGGCTGATAGCTGGGTTCTTTACCACTGGAAAGAGCCTTTTACTCGTTTCCTGCTGGGATAACTATCTGCTGGCTGCAGCTTCAAATTAACTGCACACATATGAAAGGTATAAATCTTCTCATCAAACTCTGGGAAGAAAGTGAGTTTCCCAAAACTATCCGTTTAACAATTTATGAGGCGAATTTTCTCCAACATGGGTCTATTGAAAGCGTTGGTTAAATAGTTTTCCAGTGCTGATTTGAAAGAAGAAAACACTAATAACCTGAAATTAGTGTAAAAAGCTACCCGCCATGCTGTCAAATGAGGGACGGAAAAATGACCTGATCACGGAAAACATCAAAAACACTGGCATGAACGTGTGTTCATGTGAAAAGGTCACACAGCACGGTGATGTTTTTTTCCGGGCACCGCCCACAGCGTCCGTGTCAAACATCAGTTTCACACTTTTTACTGCGGGCTGCAACTAATCGCACCAAACGGCATCATTTCATAAAGCAGCCGACACTGACTTAAAAGTGTAGGATTGCTTATGTAGATAATCAACAGTCAAACAGCAGCTGACACACAAGTCTTAGAGCATCAACTTGAGGGGAAAAAAAAAAAAAAAAAGTCTAGCAATTATTAGAGACTTTCTACTTGTAGGCATAAACAACCTGTGTACACACACTCATACACAAACTTGAAATGGTTCAGACAAATCTAATTTGCACTAGAAAATATACAATTAAACAACAAACACAGCACTTGGTAGCCAATTCGTTGACTTACTTTGAAAGTGAAAAAGGCATAATCTGTGTCTGCGTACTGTGGAGAAGATTTAACATGATTCTGTCAATCAAAATATGCGTAAAATATGTGTATTATCTCTTTAAGTACACTATAAGTGAATGGCAGTGTCCTAATAATGACTTCAAGATAAGGTGGACGTTTTTACTTTTACTTTGATCGTGGGTTTAAAAAATGTGCGGTAGGAGAATATGATGACACCACAACCAGGCAGGCCTCTGTGAGTGAGAGACAGAAAGTGCACACACCATCAACACTAGCATAAAATAGGTTTACTGAAACAAGTCCGATCCACCAGCACTACCTAGTGTGGCGAAACCCCTGCACCGTAGCTCAAAACATATCAAATTCACACTCATATATGCAAACAGATCCACTGAGAATCAACACATTGCTTGTTTTTAGGGATACCTAGCAAAGTCTATGCAAATATATTCATATGTACATACACGTCGTTGAAGCTGAAAAGCTATTGTACTTTGTCGCCAACTGAAGCGGTAGAAATATAGAAAATGTCTTTTTCCTTTCACTTTTTGAAACACAGCAAAGAGCTAAGGAGAGCTAGAGAGAGCTAAAGAGGACATCAAAGCTTTTGTATAAGGAGTGATTTTTATACAAAGTCAGAATTCCTACTTCTGGACGACTAA